TCCTTCCTTCCTTCCTTCCTTCCTTCCTTCCTTCCTTCCTTCCTTCCTTCCTTCCTTCCTTCCTTCCTTCCTTCTCTTTTTCTACCTTTATCTGAAAAAAGCAAAGAAGTTGGATGCAATTACTAGTTTACTTTCAGGTCCAATTCAAAATGTTGGTCATTAAATTGAAAGTACTTTATGGCATGGGTCCAGGATATCAGAGGAACTGGCTTACCCCATCACTTGTCCCACTCATTCCAGTGAAAAGGTCCTACTTTGGATCGTGTCAGCTAAATAATTTTGGCTGGTGAGATCCAGAAGAAAGATAAATTAGTTGTGTTCACAAGATAAATGAAGCATAAACTAGGTAAATTGAATTTTACTTAGTGTGGTGTGTGAACTTAGTGATAAATATATGGTTCAGTCAGTTGTGTGCACACAGGAAATGAAATTGAGAAAGCCAATATTCAGTTAATTCAGTGGTGTGTCATGCAAAATGCATGTGCGAATGTAATGTCTCTGCTACATGAGCTGTACTAGGTGCCAGTTTGCTTCTGGGTCCAATTCAAGGTGTTGGTCATCACCTTTAAAGCCCTTCATGGCAAGGGACCAGGTTACCTGAAGAACATACCGTCTCAACTACATCAACCCATCCCACCCAGTCAAGCAGAGAGGTCGTGTTTCATATCCCACAAGGACAGGGGTCCGCAAACTTGGCAACTTTAAGGCTTGTGGACTTCATAGCTGGCTGGAGAATTCTGGGAGTTGAAGTCCACAAGACTTAAAGTAGCCAAGTTTGGAGACCAATGTCCTTAATGAATGGAATATGAAACACGACCTCTCTGCTTCAACTGGCAGAACCAATTGAACCAGGAGGAAGGCCTTCTCTGCTATTACCCCTGTTCTCTAGAAATTTTACCCTCAATCTTCTGAATTATGAGGCAGCCCTGGGAACAGCTGGTGGCTTGAGGGCACTCCCACACTTTTGTTAACTTTTTAGCCTTCTGAATGTTTAACTTTGACTTTCACTTCAAGCTTATAAGTTTTAATATATATTTTTTATAATAGGTCTCCCAGGCAGCCTCTGCTTTTCTTGTCTTGTGAACAAATTTTCTTAATTCTTGACTTCTTGCATGCCCAAATGAATTTCATAGTAATTTTATCCAATTCTTTGAAAAAATGATTTATCCAATAATATAGGGATCATTTGGAATAAATGAAGCAATTTGGGTAGAACATTCATTTTAATAAGTTTTAACTTTTTATCTGTTCAGGTTTTATTTATTATTGGCTGTAAATTACCCACTTAGTTGAGGTGGGCAACATATAAATTTATTAAATAAAGCCAGAGAGGCTGTATTTGCACATGCAGATAGCTAACAATATTTTATAGTAATTTGCTTTGTAGACCCCAACTGCAGGGTACTACATCTGAGACAGTGATGCGAATAGAAGTACTTATTACAATTATATCTTTTCATGCAGGTTTTATTCTGTCAGTTTGTTGTTCAGCCGGCACTTCTGAAATGTCTGGCTACTTCTTAAACAGCACATTCTGAATTTTGTTTTTCAAGTAAAACAGCCTGCTCTATTAAAAATATTTTTTTATTATTTTTTGCACATTTTTATTATTTTGCACATTTTTTGGTATTATTAAGTGGATCTGTATGGCTGCTTTGTATATATAGCATTGCAACAAAAAGGATGACTTTTATAGACCGTTAGGAATTAATAATCAAACTTATAATCTAAATTATTTCCATTATTACTTTTAGTGTTATCACATTTTTGTTTGAGAAACACACCTTAAGGTAGGGGAACTTTCTTTATTGGGAGGTGGCTATGAGGGGAGAGAGAGTATTTGCCATTCTCCAAACTTGTGTTGTATTGTCCTTCAGTTTAGTTGTATTGTCTTAGTTACTTAGTTGTATTGTCCTTCAGCTTCCATAATCTTCCAGACAGTATGATTTTGACTGCACTGCTTAAAAAAAATAATGAAGACTGAACTATACATATCCTGTCATGAAAATATATCAGCTGAAAATGTTTGCATTTATATTTCTTTTACATATTTCTTATGTTATGTATTTATACTGTAATGAAAATATTCAATCTTTTTCAATCCAGTTCTTTAACCTGTTGGTTTCAAATCTTAGTAGCTATGCATACATTTTGGCTTATTATATGGTCATCATAACCATTTCAAATTCAGTTTTGTTTTGTTTTTATTCCAATTGTCCTTTTATTTTACCCTTTCTTTCATCTGATCATGAGAAAACCCATTGAAAAGTGAGTATGTAACATGCGTTTCTGAACAAAATAATAGATTGACAATAGTATAATCCCATTTTTCCCCAGTTTTTACCCATTGTTTTGGTTTCATTAGATTGCTCGACTTGATGTGGACAGCTTATTTAGCAACATTGAATCGGTCCATGAAATATCATCCAAACTGTTGTCATTGTTGGAAGAAGCAACATTAGATGTGGAACCAGCCATACAAATAATTGGTATGTTGTTGTCTTCCTGAATTCTACAGTGTTACCTGGAGCAATAACAACAATTGTAATAATAATGCTGCCATAATTTTCCATTGCTCCAACCAGAATCAAACTTACCTGTTTATTTTTCCAAACTACCATTCCAAGCAGTAAGTAAATGAAAGATGGAGAATCAGGCCCATAATCAACTGCAACATCATACACACCTAGCTTAATCCAGGTCGCAACAGCTCCTATCAGACTTTCTTACTGATGCTTCTAGCAGCGTATAATTGTACTAACTGGGTCAAATCTCTTTTATTTTGGAGAGCCCTGGCCCCAGGACATGGGAAGGCCCCATGCATCAGGATAGATATAACAAGGCTTTTACGTTTGGTGCAGGGGAGTAAAGAGGCAGAGGCTAGATTAAGGCTAACAGGCTTTATTGTAATAAAGTCACTCAGCTGCGGCTTGCCACAAGCTAACCAGGCAGCCGGCTGACAGAAAACAGCTGGTTCTTTTTGACAGCTCCTTTTATACGGAGCTGTCAAACGGACCCAGCCAATCAGGGACGGCTCCAGTTCCCTCTCAAAGAGTGGACCGGAGTGAAGACTCTTGCTGGATGCAGCAAAGGCTTTGTTATTTCTAGGCCCTTCTCGATTTGTCAGGCTGGAAACAGTAGACCTGTTTGCCAATCAGTGTTTGAGAGCAGAGATATCCGCTTCTGGGGGCCTGAAAAGGCAAGACATACCAGAACATTTATGTGGGTCTGAAACAAATGGGTGGTATTTGGCATTGCTAAACTGCCATCTTCCCTTTTTTTGACATCCTGTTCAGAGCTGTGTTTCATATTACTTGGCTGCCAAGTGTATTCTGCAATGGAGAGGGTTGCTTTGTAGCTCTTTTTCTTAGTGAATATGCAAACAGATCAATTGACTGGCTCTAGGAGTTTCTAGGATACAGATGACTGAACTGTGTTATTTAACCCTTTTCAAACGAACCACACAAAGATGAGTTGTCTTGCGCTAACTACACTCTAAGCCTCCACTAACCCTGAATGTTTATTAGATTATATTCTGTTTTTCATCCAAGAACTCAAAGCAGCCTAGAGTTTATATTTTTATTTTACTTTCACAACAACAGTGTGTTTCCATGGCTAAGACTGGACTTGAATTTGGATGCCTACAGTTCCAGTCCAACACCTCAGTTACTACATCTCATACTGGGTCTGCCTAGAAAAAAAAAAAAGACAAAGTTGCATAAAAGGAACATCTTCACACACAAGGGTTTTAAAAGTTTCCCAAATTGTGTTTTATTTGATGTCATATAAAGCACACATAACTGACCTTCCATTAGTTTCTGAATTATCATATCTAGCATTCTTCACAATGTCTAATTTTGCCCTGGAGTTTTTATTGTGTTGGGTTTTTTTTGCTTTTTTTCCTATGAATGCAAAAGCTAAATCACTTTTTGATCTTTTAGTTGGTCCCCATTTATGTCATGATATAATTCAATATTCTATAAATAATATGTTAGATCAGGCGGGATGGGCAAACATATACCCAGAACACATTCATGCACTTTGCTATGAGTAATGATTTGTTATTTTCCTCCTCCTATGTTTTTTCAATTTCTTAATCTAGCCTACAGCTCTTAGATTTCAGATGATCACCCATCCAAATTCTAAACAGAACCAAAGCTGAAGATTTAATCAGATTGAATAAATGTTTAACTTCCATGAACATACATGCACATGCATATGTGTGCGCGCACACACACACATACAAGTATAGGGTGAAGACCTGACACCCAAATTGTGATTAGAGTTCTGAAGATAGCAAGATTTACTTTGGAGTATTTGAGTTTGAAGATGTAATTCATAAATATATCAACCATATGCTGTAGTGGAAAAGCATCAAAATGTCCACAGTGCTTTTTGTAACCTGTAGCTTTCTGAGTGTTTGGGTTCACACTATATAAAGTTTTGCTTTGTCTTTATTTTTTTGAAACAAATAAAACATAACAAATCATGATTTGTTGATGAGGATATTGGCTGGGTTTAAACAACATTTCACACCCCAAAGTTAGCACAAATGACACAGAACACTAAAAAAAAAAAAGGAAGTGCTTCATGATTTAAAGGGATTAATGAAACCAGCCAATGTATAGTTAATCTTAGAAGAAACAAGAATATTATTGTTGACTGAAAGTGTTGCTATGTGATTCCTGGTTTAGAGAAAACAAGGTAGAAAAATAATCATGTTTCATTATAGCTAATTATAAGTTGAATGGCTTTTTTGAGACAAGCCTTCTGCAGCATCCAAGGACACTCTGATTGAAGGCCTTTGGTAGGTTGTTGATTCGTATTCTTAGTAGTGTTATTAAAATAAATGATGTGAATGGCTGAGTAAAAAGAAGGTTTCCTTTTCTTATGCATGCAGTAAAAAGGACATGGCTCCATTTAATCATATCCATGTGCATGTTATCTGTAATGAAAGCTAGGCATTTAGCCTCTTGTCAACCCAGTTCACCTTTCTGTGTTTGGCATTTATCTTAGTTAGTAGACACAAAGGAAAAATCAAAGACTGAATTGTTTTGTCCCAAATTAACTAGAAGCTGAAATAAATACACTGCAGAGAGGTGCTGCTTTTTACAGATATGTATTTGCAGCTGAGGTATCAGATGAGACCATGTCTTATGCATTCACATTTTTGTACCTGCATCACACTCTTAATGAGAAGTAAATTATTTCAGGAAATTTCTTTCTAGTTGCTTTCAAGAAGTCAAAGATTGACTTCCTTTTTGGTGTGTGCTTTTCTTTGTTTAGGGCTTACCTTTCATAACAGCTTGGTGTTTTAAAATCAAGCAAAGTCATTGTATGTCCCTGAAGTTGGTTATCACTGGGCTTCTACCATTATTGTGACTACTGAACAAATGGTTTAATTTAGTATCTAGTATAAATCAAGGAGCCAACAGTGCTGTGCTTTATTTTCAAACCAAAAACATAAAGATTGGTTTGTACATCCCGACTTAACTGAGAATGACAAGGAAAAATTCTTAACGCAGGTTATACCTTAAAGAAACAATTCCTATTGCTGAAATCATGGACAACTTTTTGATCTTATAGTTCTCCAAAGTTGACTTGAACCAAAGAACTGTCCTGTGTAAAATAGCTTTTCTTTAAAAAAAAAAAAGATATTAATGGGTGTCATTTAGAGGTGTCAAACTCAAGGCCCAGGGGCTGGATCCGACCCATGGGGTGCTTAGATTTGGGCCACGGAGCCACCCTAGAAACAGCAAAGGACTGGCCCATGGTGCTTCTGCCAGCGAAAATGGAGCTTGGGAGGGCAACGTGTGGCCCTCCCAGCCTCCATTTTCAGCTCCGAAGGCCTCCTGCCCCCCCTCTTCCAGTGAAAATGGAGCTCAGGTGGGGGCAAGCTCTGTTTTCACTGGCAGAGGGTGGCAGGAGGTCATCGCAACTGAAAATGGAACTCTGGAGCCCATTTTCATTGGCAAACCACTTGGGCCCCTGACATGAGTGACATCACTCACCCCACCTTTGAGGTCAAACACCCCTGAGGTCAAACACCTGATGCAACCCTCAATGAAATTGAGGTTGACATTCCTGATTTAGAGCAATATTCAGTAATTGCAGCACTACCAGTAGTGGTATTCTACTGGCTTGGCCCAGTTCTGGCATACTGGTAGCACTAAAGATCGGCAGAGACCAAACCGATTCTCTCTGAGGAGCTTCTGGAGCTGCTGTTGGGCTCACCTGCCCACCCAGGCTCCCATACTGACCTTTATTCCCTGCTTTTGAAGCATAGCAGTGACAGGGAGAGTGCAAGATTGCAGGTGAGTAGGAAAACCTCTGCGCCTGCGCAAAGCGCCCCACCAAGCCACGCCCACCGAACCATTTGCAAACTATTTTGAAACCCACCACTGAGCACTACCACAGAGAAGGGCAATTGAGATTCCAACTCATAGGTAGACAAGCAGGAAACAGAATTTCCAAGACCCACTGTAAGTGTCATGCAGATTTTAGAGGAGACAGTATATCCTTTTACAAATTTTACGGAGACCATGTATCATCTGACAGTGGATTTATTTTGACTTATATGTATTTTTGACTTTCCCAGGTCAGGTATTTCTACAGATTAAAGATGTACTAGAAGAAGCATACAAAATCTACTGTTACCATCACGATGATGCTCATCTTCTTCTGGAATTCTATGAAAAAGATGAGGAATTGAAACAATGTATAAAAGACTGTCTACATTCTTTGAAGTAAGATTTTTAGAAAACATTGTTTTAATTTTTTGTTTATTGTATGGCATATGCGAGAGCTAATGTTTATTATAAATCCTGAATTATATGAGAGTTGGGGGGATTATATTTTCCTTGCTTTATTAAGGGTCGTCCTGTTTTTTCAAAAAGTTACTTGATTAGATTTATCTAATGCTTTTGACTCCTTTTACACGGCTTCAAGGAATTAAAAATGTTAGCAAAAATACAATGTTACTTTTTATCTTTATGTTACTTTTGCTTTATTATTATTATAACGATAAAAACTAATACAAGCTAAAAAACAAAGAATAAAAATAAGACAATATAAAGTGCAGAAAAAAATTAGAAAAGAGGAAAGAAAACATTAAAAAAGGAAAGATATATAAAGAAATGACTTACCCTTTTACCAAAAGTATAAACAATTTCAATAAGTTATCACTTTCTCATAAAATACAATAAATGATATCTTTTTCTCATATCCCATATCATATTTATAAACAATCCTTAAAGAATCATTGTTTCAGTACTGAGCAGTAAAAGTCCATTAAGGATCATCAGAGATAACAAGATATTAATTTAACCTTAATCAAATAAATCAATTTTATATTCCTTCCTTTTAATAATCTTGATCTTTAGTCTCTTCAAATAATGTCCTGATTTCTTTCTTTCTTTCTTTCTTTCTTTCTTTCTTTCTTTCTTTCTTTCTTTCTTTCTTTCTTTCTTTCTTTCTTTCTTTCTTTCTTTCTTTCTTTCTTTCTTTCTTTCTTTTTTGTTTCTTCTCATAAAATTCTTCAAAGATTTAGCATATTTTGTAAATCCAATATAGTTAAATTATCCAGATTATTCTCTTGATTTGTTTTTGTATCTACAGTACCTTTTCATTCTTAAGATATCAGCCAATTTTTTATACGTCCAGTGTAGCATGTTTGTCCATGTCACACCTGTCATTTTAAAATCAAATTTAAATCAATTGTCATCATGTCAGGTAACACTTGTTCCACTTCCATAGCATATTTTAAATATTATAGTGACTCATATTTTTAAAACTAGTTGACTGTTAAAAAAAAAAATCAATATGTTTAATGTTAAAATATTTTGCTTCATTCTGTATTAGTAATTTGAGTGTTCGTCTCCTTTGATTGTAACATTTAGTTCCTTCCAGTTCTCTCTATTGTCTAATAGTTCATTACCGGTATATATTTTTTAATAATTCAAAACAAAAGCATTTTCCCACAGGAAAGATTCTTTATAATTAATTCCAAAAACTTACTTCAAATCCATCTGGACTGTTTGTAACTTTCTAAAATCAAAATTCTAATTACCCTTTTGCGGTTTATTTTTTTAAAAAATTAAGCCCTTAAATTTGTATTTAAAACGTGTGTGGCTAAAAATGGAAGGAAATTCACCTGTAAAACTTGTAAATCCAAAGATTCCTACTATCCAAAAATCAGTTAATAAGCAATTTCCAAAAGTGATTAGAAAAGTAGGTAAAACCAGTGCCCTTAAAGGTGCCAACTGTGGGTCAAACAAGATGCCTATTGTCTCCCAGAGCTCTAAACCTACCAAAGATGGCTGTCTTGCATTCTCCTTGCAAGGAGCAACTTTAAGGAGAACTTCTGGGTGATTTCAGGTATTCTCCTTGTCCAGAGGGGAATTACAAAGAGCCAGTCCACTTTCCAGTTCTTCATTCCAGTGCAGCTGTTGGTTCCACTTTTAGCGGAGCTTTCTTCAATTCCTCACCAGAAATCCAAAAATAGAACATTAAGAATAGGTTTCCTTATTATTATTCATGCAATAAGGCCCAAAAATTCATATATTTAAGTTCTACACCACAGTTCTATTTACTGGGGTTGTGAAAATTCCAGCAATTGAATGGAAGCACTTGAGCATTAGCCTCTTCCAGCTTTTGGAATTTTCTGGAAGGGTTGATATGAGACAGTGAAGTGAAGCCATCAGAGTGCTTGACTCTTGCTTGTCTCTTTGAAGCAAGTGGAATGTAGGCTTCATGAAGTAGATTGGAAAAGAATAATTCACTGAGGAATCAATAAAGTGAAACACCTTTTAGAAAAAGTAATATTCCATTGTTCTTCAACAAAGCAGTAGTTAGAAGTTATTTATTCATTAATATTTATTTGTTAAATGCCTCATCTTTTCTCAGGGCCACACAAATAGAACTTTCCCTTAATTTTATTCCCACAACATTACAATTTAATATCAAACTGTGCTAAATCTAAAATTGAAGTAAAGATTCAAAAGTCCCATTGCGCTAGCAGAGATATGTAATATTGAAAAAGTTACTGCCTTATTATAGTAATACTAAATCAAAATAGAGTTTGGTTTAAGCACTTAGGGTCTACAATACGGCTTTTGGATTCCTCCTGTGTCCTTTAGGTTTTATTTTTAACAATAAATACTTCGTTCTTTTATTGTTATTCTTTTATATATACTTTTATTCATCTTAACAATGAAAGAGGTGGGTGACTCCAGCCTGTATTTTGTTAAGAAGTGTGTTTATCTGCCAAGAAAAAAAATACAAAGGTAAGCTGAGGTGATAGAATGCATCTGGGAGACTTAAAGATGCACTTGTTTATCATGGAAAAATAATTTCAACAGTTCTGGAAAATTGGTATGTTGTGACTTGTTAGATTCTCTGTGATAGCCATTTCATCAGATGCCTGTGACAGTTCTCAAAATACTTAATGACCTCTGGCTCAAAAAAAATAATCAAAGACACCTGAATTAGGATTAGCCTACTAATATTCTCTAATTCAGCTAATTTTGCTGACTGCCAGCAGTTGGGCAGTTTGAATCTCACCAAGCTGAAGGTTGACTCAGCCTTCCATTCTTCTGAGGTGGGTAAATGATTGTTGTGGCAATACGTTGACTCTGTATTATATAAGTCTAAGTGCTATTGTTATTTCTTTTCTTAAGAGACTGCTAATGAGTGTGTATTTCTTTTTCTTTTTGCAGAAAGATATATGAAGAAGGGTAAGTTATACATTTATTTAGATGTATTACAGTATTGCATCCCTCCTGCATTTGGGGTGGCTAATTGTGAAACCTATTTATATGTATAATATAGGTAGTCATCAACTTACAGTTTATTTAGTGACTGTTCAAACTTACCGCACTGAACAGCATTGAAAAATGTGACTTATGACTATTTTTCACAGTTATGACTGCTGTAGCATCCTCATGATCATGTGCTCAAAACTCAGATGCTTGGCAACTGGCTCATACTTATGACCATTACACTGGCCCTTTTAGGACCTTCTGACATGAAAAGTCAATGAGGAAGCCAGATTCACTTAACAACTGGGTTAATAACTTATCAACTGCAGTGATTCATTTAACAATTGCACAAAGGTCGTTAAATGGGGCAAGTCTTATTTAACAAATGTCTGACAGAAATTTTGGGCTCAATTGTGGTTGTAAGTTGAGGGCTACCTATAAGATCCTTATTATCTCTTGTTATGTACATAAATCACTGAATATGTTCCAAAACTTTTTCCACTTTTTTTTGGATATCAATAAGAGTATTGAGAAAACCATGGACAGCCAAGAAAACAAAGGGATTGTCAAACAAATCAGACCAGAGTTCTTGTTACAAGCACAAATGAACAGGCTCAAATTATCCTGCTTTGGCCACCTTATGCAAAGACCCAGCTCTCTGGAAAAGGCTGTAATAGTGGTAAAGGTGGAAAGAAAGAAAAGAAGAGGATGGCCAGCAGCAGAGTGGATGGACTTAGAATGGCATAACACAATAACAGAGTTGGAAGGGACCTAGTCAGGGATGGGATGCTACTGGTTCTGCCTAGCTCTACAGAACTGGAAGCTCTGAAGAGCAGCCGACACAGAACCGGTTTTGTGTCTGCTGCTGTTTGGCCTACCCGCTCACCCGGGCTCTTACCTGACTTTTATTTCCTGCTTTTTCAACCTCAGCTGCTTTGGGTGGCACAGCTGAGGTTGAAAAAGCAGTAAAAAAGTGCTTTTTGAAAATTCTGCGCACCCGCACACAGCTCTTATCAGCTGTCCCAGTGGCTCAGTTAATGGTGTAGTACGCTCATGTGTGCCAAACACAAAAACTGAACTGGTAGTAATGCCGATTGAATCCCACTCCTGGACCTAGTCCAACCTCCTGCTCAAATAGGAGTTCCTATACCCTTTCAGACAAAAAGGTTGCCCAATCTCTTCTTTAAAAGCTCCAGTGTTGGAGCATTCACAACTTCTGGAGGCAAGTCAAAACCACTGATTATTTTTTCTGTCAGGAAATTTCTCCTTATTTCTAGGTTAATTCTCTCCTTCATTAATTTCCATGCATTGCTTCTTGTTTTGCCTTCAGGTGCTTTGGAGAAGAGGTTGGCCCCCTCTTGTTTGTGACAGATACTGGAACATTGCTATCATGCCATCCTAATCCTTCTTTTCATTAAACTAAACAGAACATTAAACTGAGCAGGTTGGGGCAGTTCATTCAGAAAACATATCTATACGGTGAGGAGTATCACGTACAGTAGTCCTTTGAGGACTAAGAGTAAAAAATGATTTGATAGAACATAATCAAGCAAAAAAAAATTTTTTAAATGTCTAGTAAAAAGATAGACAAGGAAGAAGGAGATCAGAAACAGAACATAATCTCAATCCAACATTCATAGTGTTCGATCGCGGGAAAAGAGACTAGAGACCAGTGTGACTTTCAGCTCTTATTTCTTTATTTAGATCTGTACAAGATCTTGGAGCCGCGGCAGCCCTTTTTATAGGGATTTCCCACGGCTCGCAACCAATGACAGTTCTTTGAATCTCCCGCGATCGGCCGTGCCAATCGCGGGCGATTCTTAGCGAACCAATTACAGTAGGGTATTTTAACCAATCGTTGTACAGTGTCTGTTGACCAATCAGAAGAGGGTATTTCAAGTATGCTAATATGGAACACATAGAGTATATAAAAGGCCTGGATGAAGTCAACCAGCTCACTCTCATCCTCTGGGAAGACAAAAGACGTACCTCCTCATACCTTCATCCCCATCATGCCTTCTTTATAGTATTAAACATTCATGAGGTCATGTTATCCATGAAGCTCTACATCGAGCTCCGCCTGTAAGGGTATCAGTAGTTTGTTGGCTTCACACAACAAAAGGAAGGCAAATAAATAAATAAAGCATGCTTTGGCTTAACAACTTTGGTAAACCCATTTTTTTTGTTGATTTCTGAATGATTGGGTGTGTATACAGTAGTTTTGAACTCTAAATACAGCAGCCTTATAATTAAAGAAAAAAAAATCAGGAAACACTTTCCAGCTTACCCTATTTAACCTAATCATTATTGGTGCAGTACCTCAGGTCATGAATGGAACTTGTTTGTGACCTAGCATAATATATATACTTGTCTTATAACAAAACATCAACACAGTTTCAACAACTGACCTACCCTTCCCTGGCCAGTGAAAACTTTTTAATTAGAAAGCTTGCATGGTTTTGTGATCCTGAGTTGGAATAATAAAGCTCTTGTCTCAATCAAATGTACCTAAGGTTGTGCATGTACAAATAATATCAAAAGACAAAAAGAGATCCTACCTAGGCATATCAATAGCAGATGTGCATTAAATTACTCGTGCTGAATTTCTGCAAATTAATGTGCCCTTATCATTGTCAAAGTATAGGCCAAAAGTTGTTGCACAGATTATGAATTGGTCAATAATTCATTAGCCTTTCAAAATACAATTTATGGATGGGGCTGTTTGGACTAGATACAGGGGATTCATGTAACCTCCAAGGCTCCAGACACAATAACAGGCTCTGTTCTTTTTGGGAATCCTAATGAGCATTTTGGCATGTGGGTTTTTTCTTTCTACTAGATGTTCCAGCTCCACAATAACCCTTTTCTTTAAGCTCTACCCAGAGCCCTTAACTCATAGCAAAGACAGTATGGTGGTGATTAGCAGAATAATTTCTCTATGACATCCTATGAATAATTTTGAGTCATTTAGGCATGCACACACACACATATACAGCTGCAAAGAAATGAGAATCCTTCTGTGTGAAGCTTTTGCATTTCAATTTAAACAGAGAAACGGAGTTCTCTATACTATGAAGTAGGAGCTCCCCCAAGCTGTCAGATATGGCTTGAATAACTCTGCTCAAACAACTGAGTTACTGGCAGAAATTAATTTCCTTATTCTGCAGCACTGATCCTTTTATTTTGTTTTGCTTTTAAGTAAAGTCTTCTTCATGTTGAGCTTGAATCCTGATGACTTCATAGACATGTACTGCAGTTCATGTAGTTTTCCTCGAGATAATATAGAAGTGGCTTGCCACTAACAACTGAGGTTTTGTTGTCTCCTAGTTTGATTTGCAGCCATGTTATTTAGGAAATGACTCTGCCAAGATTAGATGTACACCTGGGAAAAATAATACTAATTCCAACTTTAAAAAGCAAACAAAATATGCTATACTGTATGTGCCAGTGAGTCAACAGGGAAGGACAACAAGTTCATCAACGGTTTATTAGTCTAATCTAATTAATCTAATCTAATCCAATCCAACCTAATCTACAGTATATTTGGGTTGCTGGCTCTCAGGAAAAAAACAACCTCTGATTGCAAAAGATGTAGTAGCCTGTCCATTTCTTGTACCATAATGACAGTCTGATTTATAGAAAGAAACAAGCAAGCTTCCCAAGTCATGGAAAAAACACATATGCAGCTGCTAAACTTCTACTGCTTTGCCAGTAGAAAGAAGGTCAAAATCTGATTGTACTAGTTATATTAAATTAATTGCAAGTGAAGTTTTATTTCCAGTCTGATACAGTGAAGTTTTGTGCTAGTATACAGTAAATGATAAAATGCCCCAATTGGCAAAATGCACTCTCTGCTCACTGTAATGGGAGCATTCCCTAAGGTCTGTATAATCATCACAAATGCTATTAAGTCTAGGTTTGAAATTAGCTCAGGTTCAAAATTTCGGTGTCACTTAAACCATTCAAAAATAATGTTTTTATAAAATAGACAAATATCTCTTGCCATTTGCAGCAGCATTTAAGCTATCTGCTTAGCCACAGCCAGTGGTGGGATTCAAATTTTTTTACTACCGGTTCTGTGCGTGGCTTGGTAGGCGTGGCAGGGGAAGGATACTGTAAAATCACTAGTCAGAGGTGGTGTTTGCCAGTTCTCCAAACTACTCAAAATTTCCGCTACCGGTTCTCCAGGACTGGTCCGAACCTGCTGAATACCACCTCTGGCCACAGCTAATTGAACTATCATTCACTAAATTAAGCAAACACCTTGGGCTTGCACTTTGTGCTAAACTAGACAGGAAGCTAGGGGATGTGATGGCTCAGTGGTTAAAGATGCTGAGCTCGTCAGCTGGAAAGCTGACAGCCTAAGTTCGAGACCCAAGCACCGTGTGACAGGGTGAGCTCTTGTTACTTCCCCAGTTCCTGCCCACCTAGTAATTTGAAAGCATGCAAATGCAAGTAGATACATAGGTACTACTTTAGTGAGATGATAACAGTGTTCCATGTGCCTCAGCATGTATTGGCCACAAAACCACCAAAATGTCATCGGACAATGCTGGATCCTTCACTAAGAAACAGAGATGAGCACTGTCTCCTAGAGTCAGACATGATTGGAAAAGGGAAACCTTTATCTTTACCTATAGCCAGAAAGCTTCCTTTGTACACCATGCTGAGCTAAACCGCAGTACTATGTTTGTGGTTTGGTGTGCTAAGACAGCACAGTGATTGAAAATGTGGGAATTATAACAGAAGGGAATTAGACTTTTGTGCCCTCTAAGATTCATTCACAAAACAATGGAAGGTGTTGACTATATGGCACACTAAACAACGAAGATGCTAATGCGTTTGCAAAACTAGGTGTGTCTACAATTGTAATAATCAAATATTCATGCTAACATTTCCCCACTACTCATAAGCCTGTTACGGTAAGAATTGCTGTGAGTGTGGGGTTGTTGTGAAAGTTAATTATTACAAGGAAATACATTCTTCTTCCCTATTTTGCAAGAACTCTCTTTTATACTTAACATGGCTTAATTTAAATTTCAGGGGAAAACCAAATCTATTGGATATGGGATCTTTGATGATCAAACCAATACAACGTGTCATGAAGTATCCTTTGTTATTGTGTGAGCTCTTGAATGCCACTCCTAAGTCTCACCCCGACCACAAAGCATTGCAGGATGCCTTGGTTGCTATGAAAGATATGAATATGAATATAAATGAACTTAAAAGGAGAAAGGATATAGGTAAGAGAAAGTCAACAATATGGAATATCTCTGTAAGAACCTGCTTGTATGACCTTTTCAGAACAATGAAATGACCATTATAGAAAATAAGATGCTGGGCCATATTGATTTGTTTACTATATGGAATGAAATTTGAAGCTTGCGTGCATGGCAAGCAGCAGCAAGCAGCTTTGTTTTAAATATAGGTACTTGAGGAATGACTGTGAAAGAACATCACTCTCCTCATTTCCATTCTTGTAAGATTTCAATAAATTTGGCTGGCCACTGTGAAAACAGAGGATTAGACCAAACAAATCTTTATCTGAATCTACTAGGAATTTTCTTGTGGCTAAAGCTTAGATAGAATAGAATACAATTCTTTATTGTCCAAATGTGATTGGACACACAAGGAATTTGTCTTGGTGCATATGCTGTCAGTGTACATAAAAGAAAAGATACATTCGACAAGAATCATAAGTACAACACTTAATAATAGTCATAGGGTACAATAAGCAATCAAATCATACTAGGAAACAGCCATTAAAAATCGTTAGGATACAAGCAACAAGGTTACAATCATACAGTCATAAGTGGGAGGAGATGGGTGAAAAGAAGGATGAGAGGATTAATAGTAATAGTAATGCAGACTTAGTAAATAGTTTGACAGTGTTGAGGGAATTATTTGTTTAGCAGAGTGATGGCATTCGGGGAAAAAACTGTCCTTGTGTCTAGTTGTTCTGGTGTGCAATGCTCTATAGTGTCGTTTTGAGGGAAGGAGTTGAAACAGTTTATGTCCAGGATGTGAGGGGTTTGTAAATATACAAGTGAAATGCCTTTCCTGAGAGGGTTGTTCATCCCACATTGATCTAAAGACCTGACCAAATTATTTATTTACAAATTAAGCCATGGATTGATTTATAATGATTATGGGCAATGCAATTGGAATGAAAGACAGTGGACCTGTTCCTGTGGGATTCTTATTTTATGGAATCTTTAATTTTAGGAAAGTGATTCTGTCACTTTAATCTATGCTTTAAATTTGGCTTATTTTTGGATAGGCATGTTCTGTACATACATAGAAGCTTATCTGACAACAAAATAGGGCTGCAAAAATCTAAACGATTATTAGATGGCAGCAAATTGTTGGCATTATCTCTAACTCTCTGTTTCTATGTGTAGTGGCTTAGAGATGGAGTCTTACCTCACAATCCAGAGGCTGTGAGTTCAATCCTAGGTAGAGGCAGATATTTCTCTCTCTGGGCAAGATGAGAATATATCTGCTGAATATAACTCCGCATTGGCGACAGGAAGGGCAGTAAACACTCAGCTTCATTCAGTTGCCCAGACTCCTCCCTGCAAGGGATTATGGGGTCATTAAAAGATGATGATTCTGTCACTTTAATACCGGTATCTATCTGATTTCAGAATGATTGTTCTGCATAGTGAAAGTAAGCCAAACTTATTTGTAATACTTTCTCCTGATGGAAAGATTGTTGTAACAGAAGCATTTAGATAGGATCTTTAGTCAAATTCAAGCTACAATAATTACACTTAGCATTAAGTTTTAAAATTCATTTGGCCTGTAAAAAGCATTCCTGAAAGAAATGTGAAAGCATCAACACCCACTTATTAACCCCAAAAATGTAGTGAGGCATATGACTAGGATCCAAATATTATACAGGTACTTCATGACTTATGACCTTTCAGCAATCCAGGGCCTCCCCAACTACCTGAGGCACCAAGTGCTCCAAAATATCAACTGCAGCAGAGATTGCATCTCACTTCATGGCCACAATGATGTATGACCATAATTTTGGTTTGAACTGTGGTCATAAGTCGAGGACTACATGTACAGGAGCCCTAATCTGCTTAACTATTGAGCTAACTACAATTGGCTGGTTTCACACATGGTGCCCAGTCATATGTCATATGGTATGGTAAGTTAAAATCAAATTAATACCATTTTGTATTAATATGATTTGTAAATTCAGCACTCACTTAATATGACAATAGTCTATGGTTTAAATTTGGCTGATTTTTGGATAGGCATGTTCTGTACATACATAGAAGCTTATCTGATCACAAAATAGGGCTGCAAAAATCTAAACAATTATTAGATGGCAGCAAATTGTTGGCATTATCTCTAACTCTCTGTTTCTATCCAACAACACATTGTTTGGCATTTCACAACTCAGATTCGGGAGTCCAACAAATACTCTTCCCTGGGGCTATGCTTGAGGAAGAGATGGTAAGGGGCCATAACCCTGAAAAAAAGCTAAGCCTATTTATATTATGAGAAAATAGTTTATTGTGATGTTGAAATATAGGCGATGATATTTGACTGGATCCTCAAACCAGTGGTAGTATTCAGCCGGTTCACACTGGTTCAGGCACACCGGTAGCAAGGATTTGGCGTGGGTCACTGAACCAGTAGTAATTTCTGGCTGGCCACACCCCCAACCTGGTCGCCCGGTCACCACTCACTCGCTTGCCCCACTCACCTGATGCCCAATGCTTGCTCACCCTGTCTGCCAGCCCAGTCACTCTTTAAGTTTTTTTTTTTTTTAACCTCCCGATAATGAGTTGTTCCTATGAATAGCTATGCCGGGATTCCCCTCGCATCTTACTGCTTTGCCCAGGAGGCTTCCCTGAGGCTAGGAAGGCCTCAAAATGGAGCATGGAGGGGTGCTGCGCACCCCTCCTATGTTCCATTTTTTTCCCTTCCTGAGCCCCAGGGGAGCCTTTTTGGAGCAAAAACACCCCCCTAGAGGCTTCTCTGAGGCCAGGAAGGCCCCAAAACAGTGCATGAAGGGGTGCTGCATGCCCCTCCTATGCTCCGTTTTTTTTATCCTGAGCCCCAGAAGAGCTTCTGGGAGCAAAAACGCCCCCCTAGAGGCTCCTCTGATGACAGGAAAGCCCCAAAAACGGGGTGGGGGTGGTTAAAAAAAGCCACGCCCACCCAATCACATGGTCGTGCCCACCTAGCCATGCCCACCTAGCCACGCCCCCAGAAACGGTAATTTAAAAAATTGAATCCCACCACTGCTTCAAACATATTATAGCATGTTCTTTTTAGGATCAAAGCAATATTCATCTGGTTCACCATTCAGTTTTCAACAATTATTAACTTCAAAGTGATAGACATTCCTTGCATTTAGAGTTCATGGGTATCTCATCTCTTTATATGGGAATTCCCTTGGGCTATTGTTCTTCATAAAAAACAATATATGCTTATTCATAGGCAAAAAAATCATTAAATCCCAGAACTAAAAAGCACATTTTGTTCCCATCTTATTTATCTTAACGCATGAGAAGACTGAAAAAGTTGCTACAGCTTTAGTTGCATTTGCTTAAGGCACATAAATAAAAGTAAGCATTTTTTTTTGTATCTGAGCTTCTCCCTGATAGACTTACTAAGAATTTTTCTTTGTAAACACATGAAAATTGCTATAGAATTCAAGCATCTTTGCATTTTGCAATAAATAGAATAAAGGCTGCTATTGAAAATGACAGCAACAATTTGTGAAATTAAAATTTTAAAAAGTTTATGTGGCCATCAGGGCTTAATTATCTCTCCTTTCCATCATGTAGCCTCTGTTTCTTTATTTCTTTAATATGTGATAGCATTTTTTAAAAAGTAGATAGAACTTTGCTTCCTTATCAGTATACATTGTTATTTTTAATGTGATTTGTCTGATTACAGTGCTTAAATATAAGAAGAATGATGAAGATGAATCTTTGAAGGATAAATTTTCAAAGTTAAATATTCACTCAATTAGTAAAAAGTCCAAGAGAGTGACTGGTCACTTGAAGATTCTGACAGGAGGAGAGCCTCAGGTAATCACTCGCTGAGTTTGCACATCATATTAGAATAGAGTAGAATAACAGAGTTGGAAGGGATCTTGGAGGTCTTCTAGTCCAACCCCCTGCCTAGGCAGGAAACCTTACACCACTTCAGACAAATGGTTATCCCACATCTTTTTAAAAACGTCCAGTGTTGGAGCATTTACAACTTCAGGAGGCAAGTTGTTCCAACTGTCAGGAAATTTCTTTTTAGTTCTAGGTTGCTTCTCTCCTTGATTAGTTTCCACCCATTGCTTCTTGTCCTGCCCTCAGGTGCTTTGGAAAATAACTCGACTTTCTCTTCTTTGTGGCAGCCCCTGAGATATTGGAACACTGCTATCATGTTTCCCCTAGTCCTTCTTTTCATTAGACTAGACATATCCGTTCCTGCAACCGTTCTTCATATGTTTTAGCTTCCAGTCCCTTCTTTGTTGCTCTTCTCTACACTCTTTCTTTTTTTTTTTTTACATTGTGGTGAACAAAACTGAATGCAGTATTCCAAGCGTGGCCTTATCAAGGCATTTTAAGTGGTTAAACTGTTACACTATGGTGTTTTTAAACATGATTTCTTGAGTAATCAAACCTTTGCTGGATTTACTCACATCAATCAGTTACAATCCACAGTGGTCGATTTCATACAACATGCTTAAGCCACAACTAAGCCAACTTTGTTATGGCTTAGTGCAACATGTGAATCCAGCCATTGCTTTACAGGGATTGTAAGAGTTATCGGTCAGAATTTTCATTCATTGGGTATCCTTCCTTTTCCTCCTATTATGTCCTTGCTATTCGCCTATTCCAAAACAGGTTTTCTCAAGGTGTTAAGAAATTTGGAACATATAATTTACTTTAACAAGAATGTTTTTATATGCCAGAGTCACAGTTCTGCAGTTGCTATATACAAATTAGGAACTGTGATCAGGATGCTTATTTAATTCTTTGCTTTGTGATTCCAACCAGTCTCATTAAGAAAGTGGTGCTAACCAGTAGCTTACCAGGGCATAAATAAATAATTATTGGTACAAGGTAAAGTACTCATGAAATATATATTATATTAGGTCTGTGACTGACATCGTAACTATGTGCTATTTATTGATGAGAGTTAGCTTCAGAATGTATCTGACCACAAAAAAGGCAAGTGCATTTTTCTGTGGCTTAATACTAATATTTTAATGGAAGCCAGAACTAAACAAAATACTCTGAAACTTTCTGCCCTAGACGGGACTCCAAACATACAATACAAAAGTCAAAATGGGGCTTCAGATGAGGTTATTGTAGTTGGCAGCTCGATTAATTTCAAAGCTTTTTCTAGTTCATGTTTGGATCAATGCCTACAGAGTAGAGGAAACTGTGTTAAGTTTAGCTTGCTGCTTCTCGATCTCAGCCAATATTGACACTATTGGCATGCAGCAGCCTTTCTGATTCTCTTACACAGCCTGCCCTACTTCTTTGCAAGGAAATTCAGAAATCTGAACTGACAATAAAAGTTTGCAGACCTTGATTCTGTGCCAGTTCTTATCAGCTGTGTGGAATGATATGGTCTAAAAAATTGATAATGATTGATAATGCTCTTGCGATGAAGAGGGAATTCTCTGTGTTAAAGTTTCTTTTTAATCACATTTTTAAACTCAAACAACACTGAAGCATTTTGGGGTGGAATTATGTTTTTATGAAATCTCAGCATTTTTCTTTCTTCTAATTTATTGCTTCAGGTCACATTTTCCATTGCTGACATTTGCAGCAGCTTCTAACTTCTTTAATCAATTACTGATCCTATCTATCAGTTCTAGTAGAACTTGTTTTTCTCCCCATGAAAGCTTTTAAAGATGTATTTTATAGTGTACGGATCACAAGCATTCCAAAAGATTGTGAGTGCATATATGATCTAGTTTGGCCAAGACAGTGAACATAAGGCTAAAGTACCAATTTCATATTTGCTCACTGAAAGCACAAAATTACCATTTCACAGAAAGAACCCACAGACACAAGCTTCTTAAATGAAGTATCTTTTTTTACAGAAATTATGACTGGTTTCTTTATATGCTCCTCTCAAGATCTTATTGATCATGAAGGAAATAAAAACAATCCCAGAAATACTTCCCTTATTTTTTATGATAATATTTTTATTTATTGAGTAGATTTATTTATTTATGAGATTTATACAATTGTCCATCTCACTTAAATAACTCTTCGCAACTAACACAATAAAAGCTCCCATATGAAGAAGGGAAGTTAAAAATGTCTGTCTATGAAACATGTCAATATTCATTTTTGGGTAATGATGAAGAGGACTGAAAATGATGGAAGAGACTATTTGTAGCAGTGAGTTGAACTGTGGGGTCCTTGTTGGTCTCTAAGCTTGTTTTTTTTTCCTTGCAGACATTTCATTACCAAACTAGATAACATCCTCAAGAGCACTACTGCTGTTACCAAGGTTGGTAATAAAATGTCTGCAAGAAAACCACCAAGCTCAGAGAGCAACAAGGACCACCACAGGACTGAAATTAAAGAAATGTAACCAGTGAAAAGTATTTTGACATTCCCTTAAACTGTTATTTAGTGTTATGTGAATATGCCATAACAGACCACTGGGAAGGATCTCTGAGACATTTTAACATTACTATTAGCAATTACATTCTTATCCTAACTGTGGCGTTCTTGTGGCTTTAGGTGAAAGATGAAGTTTTTAATAAACAGGAGAAGTTATTCAAAAGCTTAGAAAAGACGGTCAAACTATGCATGAAGAATATTCCATTGTCTCTTCAGCATTTAGAAGTAAGTGTTATGTAACAATATTGCAGCCTTGGTGTTAACCGTTCACAAGTTGCAAATCAACATCTGACTGGTCAAACCTGATTTAAATCCTGAATTGATGTCACAGATGGGAAGAAAGTACTGAAGCTCTCCTCTTAACCCATATTAAAAATGCCAGAAACAATGTTTTGAAATGGATTCTCAGACCAGATAATTACATGAATATTTAAACTTCACTTAGTGAGTCTCCTGGCAAATGCTCACTTTAAGACTCTATTGTGTTTGTAAAATATGGGAAGCCATTTTTAAAAAATAGTTGGGCTATCTGTTATGCAGTCAATCATGGTTTGTTCAGTTTTTACAAACAATTGTTAAGCAACTCATGGCCTATTTTAATATGCAAGTCAGACCATAATCTTTCGGCCTGGGTTGTATGAGATGCTGAATGATGGATACAGTAAGTAATCTGAGACAGTTTTCAGATTTATGTATTACATAATTTATGTATTACATAAATTATTCATTTTTTTAATAAATGAGAACAATTAAATTAGCAGATCAATTGAACAATGCCTTCTTCTGTTGGGTTTTTTTTTTCATTTGCAAGGAGCTTTTAAGTAATGATACTGTACATTAATATAACCTCCCATTTGAAAACTGAAAGCTCCAGTCAATTTCCATATAGATCTATGCTTCGGGTTCCATCCAAGGGATCATTTTCATGAACTAATCACATCCTTGCAGGCTCTGGAGAAGACTCATCTGCAGAAGTCAGAGTTATTACACTGGAGTCCAGCTACACTGAAATATGGAAAACGGGATCAAAAGCTGAGATAGATGCAATATCTATTCACAACATTCTTTTTACCCTGCTTTGATTACCTGTATTCCTAACCTGTGTCTGAAAAGTTTTCTAGTGTAGAAAGTTAGCACCCACCCCTCCTAGAAGAATGAAGTATTTTGAGAAATATTTTTAAAAGGCTGAATATTATATTTTCCCTAAAGGAGAAACATGTTTCTAAAGACAGAAATTCAGAGCCTGAGCAATTTGCCCCAAGTAGAAATTAAGGGGTCAACTTTTAGAAAGGCAGATTTGGTAATCCATTCAAAACAGGATATTCTGAACAAAGGTAGGATTAGCCCTTAGCCACAATAGGAATTGGCCAACAAGCCCCTTCATTTGCATCAGCACACTTCAACCAAACTTATCTCAAACTCCTAGATAGGAATCTGATAGCAGCCAACAGAATACATGCTGTTGCACAGGAACAGGAAGCTCAAGTTCAAAGCTCAGAGAGGGTATAAATAAACCCTCATTTTCAATGCCATGTAGTCAGCTGCCCAGGACCTCAAACCCATGTGGTCCTGGCCATCAATAAAGCATCTTTCCAATTAGCCTCCGTGTTTCCAGTGTCTTTCTCCCCGCTTGGAACTGACCCAGATAGATATTTCTTCCAAAACTAGATTTATTGATCTTCATCTAGACCACATCATCTTCTGGCTCGATTCCTTTTGTATCTAGTTCAGAATTTATTATTTTTGTTGTTGCTGTTGTTGTATATATTTAAATGATTTATATGCCCACCAAACTTATAAAATGAGACTATAGGTGGCTGGGTGGTTGCTTTGGCCTGATGGACTCATTGAATAATTATGTGGCTTTAATGTCTTTGAAAAGACTGATTTATCAGCTTTTAACATGCACCGTCTGATTATCATCTTTGCCACTCACCTTTTCTTGCTTTTTCACAAGATGAAACAAAATGAAAGGGGACAAAGTGCTGGATTTTCTTCTTCTTCTGTAGTTATGGCTTTAGAGACCCAGTCTGGCATTGTGGTTAAATCACCAGGCTAGAAATTTGGAAACCATGAGTTCTAATCCTGTTTTAGGAATGAAGCCAGCTGGGTGACCTTACCTCAGGCGTTCTCTCTCAGCCCTAGGAAGCTGACAGTGGCAAACCCCTTCTGAGGTCTTGCCAAGAAAAAACTATAGCAGTCAACAGCAGTCAACAATAACTTGTAAGCACACACAAAAAAGAGAAAAAAAATAGGGGTTTAATTGTGTGTGCTTATATGCCTACCCAAAGAGGCATTTCATTTATTTCACGAATACTAGGCAAATTGGATTATTAACACACAAATCTACATAGCCACTTTATGAATAGTGCAGCAAAATGGTAGCAAGCAGAATTTTTTCATAAATAATTATTCACTTCTTATGGCAAATATTACTGAGCAAGTGTACATGCATAAGGGTTTATGTTTGTATGTAACATTCTTCTGCCTATATCATTTTTTTTTTCAGGACTCTGTATTTCTCGGAGCACAGTGCATAATTGATCTTCAGGATCTGCTACATGAGAATGAAGATGGGGCAAACAGATCTTCAGATGCATTGATTAATGCTGGGCATCCCAGCAAACTGTTTGTAAGTTCTTGAATATATAGATTTAAAAGGATTGGGAATAGATTTTGTGAAATCTGCTGTGTATAATATTGCACAACAAATCTAATAGAAAGTAGTTTGTTTTTTAGCCTCGTTACAACAGATTCCAATTTATTGTAAGTCAAGGGTGTTAAACTCGCGTTGTCACAGTGTCGTCAAGTGACGTATTGCGATTACCCCCCTTTGCTAAACTGGATGTGGGCGTGGCCAGCGCTTGACGCATCCGGCCCTCAGGTTATGAGTTTGACAGCCCTGCTGTATGTATATACAAAATCCAGCCTTCCATATCAGAAGAATAATTCAAAAAGTATGAATTGAGAATTAATAGGTAAGTGAAGAGTGTAGATTAGGGAGACTTTTAAAAAAATCTTGCTCAGCCACAAACTTTACTTGGTGAGTCAGGGCATAGCCCCACCACACATGGCTGTTTTGAGGATAAAAACCATGTCAACCATCTACCCTGTGATCTTCAAAAGGAAGAAAATCTAGTATGTCTTTTCCCATCTTTATTCTTGCAACAACTTTGCAAAGTAAATTAAAATAGAAAATGTGACTCACCCAGTAAATTTTATACCTGAACAGAAACTCCAGCCCTAGGTTTGTAACTTAAATCTATGGCATGGAAAATTCTGTATTTTTAATTAAGGTTTCACTTTATTAATCATTATCTAAATTGATTCTCCCAAAACAACCAGGAATTTATCAAGATTCTCCAAACTGGAAAGTTAAATTTAAAAAATAAATAGTAACTGGCATTTATTACTAGAAAATTTAGGACATAAATAGCTTTACTATTTCAAATCCTGAGAAGTCTTCACTAACTCTATGAGAACAGATTATCTTCATTCAGATACATTGTTCTTTCTCTTTGTTTCCTGGGTACACAGAACATTTCCTCCTTCCTTCCTTCCTTCCTTCCTTCCTTCCTTCCTTCCTTCCTTCCTTCCTTCCTTCCTTCCTTCCTTCCTTCCTCCGTCCCTCCGTCCCTCCATCCCTCCATCCCTCCCTCCCTGCCTTTCTGCCTTCCTTTGCCTTTTGCCATTTAATTCTCTTATGCTTTAAGTTACAATCCTGCATGTGATATTCTTTTCATGATATGATCCAGTGGTGGATTCAATTTTTTTTTACTACTGGTTCTGTGGGCATGGCTTGGTGGCCATGGCAGGGGAAGGATACTGTAAAATCTCCAGTCAGAGGTGGGTATTTGACGGTTCTCCAAACTATTCAAAATTTCCGCTACCAGAACCTGCTGAATACCACCTCTGATATGATCCCACAGATATTGATCTCTGCTGCCATCCAGGGTTCAGTTCAGACTTTCACATAATGCTTTTTAGCAAGATAGGCAAGATTAAAGTTGAATGCCAACCTTAATGGCCCCTATGCCACATGTATCTCCCCCCACTAATTGTAAAGGTAGCACTAATCAATTAAGATATACAGGTAGCCCTCAACTTACAACCACAATCAATTAGGTTATACAGGTAGCCCTCAATTTACAACCACAATTGAGCCCAAAATTTATGTTGCTAAGTGAGACATATGTTAAGTGAGTTCTGCCCTATTGTCATGCCTCTGTTGGAAACTGACTCTGAGGGAGAGGAGAAACAGTCAACAGGGAGTGGAAGTGTAGCTCTGGAGGTTGTGGAGGAGGCTGGGGAAGGGCACAGGCTGGCTGGGCAGTCAGAGGAGGACCCAGGCCCATCTCCTCTTCATCCTAGGGCACACAGGGAGGAGATGATAAGGGAGAATCGTGAATGGCATGGTCTACAGGGGAGGAAAGGGCCTTGATCCCCTTCATGGGCTGCAGCTGTGAGAACTGGTTAAAAGGAGGACTGCGCATGAGCCAGTGCTGGAAGCAAAGCGTGAAAATAAGCATGAAAATATTTCTAGTCTTTCCATTCTTACCTGAGTTTGGCGTCCTTCCCAGTATTGGAATACTCACCTCTAATGATCTAAGTGCTAGAGCCCACTGCAACTACATAGCCAAAAAGGCATTAAGAGTTGTTAACCTAATCCTACGTAGCTTTTTCTCTGGTAATATCACACTACTAACCAGAGCATACAAAACATTTGCTAGACCAATACTCGAATACAGTTCATCAGTCTGGAACCCACATTACGTATCTGATATTAGCACAATTGAGAAAGTCCAGAAATATTTCACAAGAAGAGTTCTCCACTCCTCTACTCGTTGTAGAATACCTTATGCCACCAGACTTGAAATTCTAGAACTAGAAAACCTTGAATTACGCCGTCTTCGTTCTGACTTAAGCATGGTATACAAAATCATACATTGCAATGTCCTACCTGTCAATGAATACTTCAGCTTCAACCATAACAACACAAGAGCACACAATAGATACAAACTCAAAGTTAACCGCACCAAACTTGATTGCAGGAAATACGACTTCAGCAATAGAGTGGTCAATGTCTGGAATACTCTACCCGACTCTGTAGTTTCTTCCCCAAACCCCAAAAACTTTAACCTTAGACTGTCTACTATTGACCTCACCCCTTTCCTAAGAGGTATGTAAGGGGCGTGCATAAGCGCACCAACGTGCCTACCGTCCCTGTCCTATTGTTTCTCTTATTCTTCTTTTATTTTTCTTATATGTACCCATTTCATGTATTCACAACTATGTATACACTTATACTTATTATCTTGTAAACAATTGGCAAATCAAATAAATAAATAAATCTTTCAATATCTGTGGACGTCTTCAAGCCCTTATCTTGCCTGGTTTCCTTAATTGCTTCAGTGTGGTTTGTGTTGTTTTTCTAGTTATAATTTATAAGTATTTTTAGTTTGAATGGCATCTCCTCCTTTTTGCAACTGTTTGTGGGGGAGTTTTTTTGTCTCCAGTCAAGGATATTTGGAGCTTTAAAGCCAAGTTGAAGGAATTTACCTGTTTTTGTGCCTGTGTTTATTTTGTATCCCACCCTGGATCATCGCACCTATTTTATGATCCTTCTTGCCACAGTTATTAAGTGAATCATTGCAGTTTTAAGTTAGGGTTAGGGTTGTTAAGTGAATCCTAACCCTAACCTCATTGTCTTTGCTTGTAACAAGTTCGCAAAAGGTGACCACAAGACCTTGAGAAACTCCAGCGGTCATAACTATGAGTCAGTTACCAAGAATCCAAATTTTAATCACATGACCAAGGGGATCCCGCATCAGTCTTAAGTGTGAAAAACAGTCATAAGTCACTTTTTCCAGTTGCTGTTGTAAGCTTGAACAATCACTAGATGAACTGTAGTAGTTTTAGGACTACCTGTATTCTGGCCAGTATGCCACAAATACGAAGTTCAATTTCACTTACTTAGGCTAATATATGCAAGATATAGACTACCTTATTTGCTAACATACTGCTGTCTGTAGCCCACAGCTAGGAGGCGTTTTGAGTGTACTGACATACTTAGAAATATGGGAGATAAGGACTGACTTACATCAAAAGTTATGCTAATGTTGTTTAATGAATATGAACGATGCTGCTTTCTTTGTTCTGATACATTATATCTTTTGTCTTTCCTTCTTCCAATGCATGAAGCTGAATCAAGTAGAGAAATTGGTGTTGACTCCATTGACTACACTACACGCTCTTTTCCTCAGTCCCCAGAAGCTCATCCAAAAGCGTTATGACAAACTTCTGGATTACAGTAGCTTATATCAAAAGGCTTCAGGGGATGATACTGACCTGGCCAGGAAAGAATATGAGGCCCTCAATGCACAGCTGGTGGAGGAGCTCCAGCAGTTCAATGAAGCAGCAAAGAAAATTGTGACCAGTTGCCTATGTTGTCTCATCACTCTCCTGAAAGACATGATGTCATCGGCCTCACAGTCCTTTTCAACCAATGAATCCCAGTTGCTAGCCATTAAACCGGAGGTAACAACACCCTGCTGAAAGTAGTTTGCGGTTCTTTCTTCTTTGAAGTTTAAAATGCGTTTTTACCGGCAATTTTTGAGCTGAATTGATTGTCTTAGATGGAAATTTTAAAAGCAAATTCACCAATTGAATAATAAAAAAAATAATTCTGGGGACAATTCTGAAGCAGTGGTATTACATTGCTGGTAGATGAAATGTTGATAGGGATGGTTAGTGATGTCACCAAAACATGGAAGGTTATTTTCGCCTCTGCAATTTTTTTCAAAGGTAGCATGGAAATGAGTTAGGAGAGGATTAATATTGATGTTGTGATTTCTATCACATATTTTCCATCATTCTAAAGTGTCCCGGCCTACACACACTTCCAATCTGAGCATAAATATATGAGGTTTATTTGGAATGTGTCCAATCTTGGCAACTTTAAGACTTGTGGACTTCAACATGGCTGACTGGGGAATT